CATTTAAATGACTTTCACTGATCAAACATTAAAAAGAAAACAGCTTCAAAAATGTCTATTTTCTTAAAAGCATAGCAATAAAAATGAGCAGGATGCACTAGAAATATTAGACATGAAAGTGGCGGTGTGTGAAAAATGTCAAATAAAAACTTTCCAACACGGAATATTGGGCAAATCAATCATAATCGCCCCAAAACACAATCTGCGTTGCGGACAGGCTGCAATTTCCAGCGAGGAAAAAAACCCATTCCGTTAGTTTGATAAGACAGCCCTACAATATCCATCCATTAAATGATTGCATCCGGCTCCTCGCACTTAATTATGGTGATTATAACAGCGATAACAAGACAACAATAACACAAAGTTTTAAGATGCAGAGCGCGCAGGAAGCGTTTTCTCTCCGAGGGAGGAGGGAGGAAGGGAGGGAGGAAGAGGGGGGGGGCTCTCTCGTGTCTGCGTGTTCAAACACTTGTTATTTACCGGCGACGCGTTTATTTCAATTACCGTCTGCATGTCAAATTAGCTCTCGTATGTAGTGTTTATTAGCACAACAAAATAATAAAACACACACAGGAGGAGGAGGAGGAGGAGGAAGAAAGGGAGGGAGGCTGAAGGAGTGGAGAAGGAGTTGGTTCTGCTTTTAATAAAGAAAGAGGAATTAGTGCATATTGATAGGACTTAATAGACCGAGGGGGGTCATCAAACCAGTCGCGACTGAGCGATCCATGCTTAATTTACTATCAGTGTCATGTTATATGGGAGGGGGGGTTAATGCGCGCGTCCTGACGCATTAATATTCCCAAATATGAGAAGTTTGGTTGAGAATAGACTTTAAAAGACAAAAAATTATAGAGTATTTGTTCGGGGGGGGGTTGTCAGACAGAGAGAAGAATATTGTGTAGGATGGGGAGGAAGAGGTGAGACAAAAAAGTTACATCCGCTTCTTTCTTTTAAATTCTTGATTACTCTCCTCAGAGAGGCGGCGGTAAATAAAACTTGGTGAGCAGCATAAATCCACTCCCACATTGGGGGGTATCACTTGTGCTTTCTTTTAATTCTCTCATAAAAACATCCACATGTGATGAATATCATTTTGGAGCTGCTCACCAGCTACTTAATGATTATCTACGTCTCGGTAACAGTGATAAGGGTTCCTCATAATGAAGCAGGTGGTGGTGGTTATGTTTTTCCCTCTTGTTTCGGACGTGGCGTTTTTTCGGATCCAAATTAAAATAAACTTCTCTCCCTGCGGCCATCGATCCAGAGGAGAGGTGTGAAATGGACATTAATTTTAGTTCACTTCACGCTGCGCAAAGGAGGAGAGCAAGAGAGATCAATGGCGAGCAATAACAGCTGACTGCTGAGAGAGAGAGAGGGGGGGGGTCGAAAACGCTGACAAATAAATCATCTTTTGCTTCTTTTCCTCCAACCTCGACACTATTTTTTCTCCTCTTCTTTGCGCCTACAGACTATTCCTTTGGGAAGGGAGAGAGGAGGAGGAGATGATGAGGCCTAAATGAATAACTGAGAAAAATAAACCGAGCACAGATATTGTAAGAAATTTAAAACCGAGGCTAATATATTTAATTTGGTTGAGAAAACAAATCCTCACTACAGCGTAAAGGCCCGTCTTGTTGCGTTTCACTCGAAAATAAATGTATTTGATATTTGTGGGCATCGTTATGTGTCATTTATATCTGTGTGGCCCCAACGCTCCGAGGAACGCTCGCACAATTAATACCAAACACACTGCAATTAAGGCACAAACACACAACTTACAATTAAACCACTAAAAAGTTACAATCAATACTCTGACTTTCATACAAACATATTTATAAAAACATCAGGCTTCCGTAGTGTATTTAAATGTGGATGTGAAATAAGCGAGTTTAACGAATATCCAAGCGGCGGCCTATAAATCACTGAGCTCTGAAAGCTGAGGCGCAAAATAACAAAATGATACAGAAAGAAGGTGTATCACTCTGGGTGACAGCATTTTACAACAAAGACCACAAAACACGTTTAAATACACAAAAAACTAAACCATGTGTATGAGGGAAAAATGCAGCTTTAATTTGTCTTCATTTAAAATCGCTTTTTAGGGAACACCGGCCTATTTAAATCATGGTTAAAATATTTGAACTCTTAATATAACGCAATGTCAGGGAAATCAATCAGTCTCATTAACATATAGCCTAATTACAAATATAAGAATTAAATTTGGAGGTATTTTATGAAACTTCCTGCGTATAAACATTAACTGGAAAAATAAATCAAATAAATCTCTGCTGTGCATTACATGTCTCCTTAAAATTATGAATTTAAATTAATGCATTTACTGGTATTTCTAATATATAGAGGGATGGGCTGTGTACCAGATCATTTAATGGAGAAATGACAGGTCTAAAAAAACGGATAATTACAGGGGGTAAATTAAATGCAATGCTCACTTTCCTTCAGAAGTAAAATATATTAATAAGACTACAACTTTTTCTCCGCATCGGAAACAAAGTGAACAACAAACCACCATGTATCTACTAGCCTATATATGATGCCATTTAACGTATTGAAGAGAACGTTTCTGTAACACCTCTCCTCCTTCACAATTTCCCACTTTTAAAAGATCATTATTGCTGGCTAATGTGTGTGGTTGGAGAATGAAAAGGCTCGGCGGGTCGTTAGAAGTCAGGGCTGGTTGATCTGACAATCAATAAAATCAATTTGAAGGGATCCATCACGCTGGCTTCACTGGATCTGGATTTGGAGTTTCTGATTTTTGAGGAACTATAATTCAATCTTCACAGTGCGGTGAGTTCAATGACCCGCCTCGGGGGCACCTTCGCTCCGAAAGTGTGTTTTTTACGCGCTATTTATTGCTGGCACTGAGCGAGACTTTTCAACTTGGAAATGACTACCAATAGCTCTGCTGCGTTTTTTCCTCACACTACTAATTTTATTATTCTCTAAACTGGGTGCTGCGGCTTTGTGCGGCAATGCTCGCTGATCCGGGCGCGTACTGTTTCGGCGAGGTCTCTCTTTTTAAAAAAAGGGCATGGATGTGATTAAGACAGGGCGGCCACACAGCAAAGAAATAAAAGAGCGAGAACAAATTAGTTAAATATTTCTTGGACTATAAAAAAATCTGAAGTTGTGACTTTCATCCACTGTCTTTACTGTCTGCGGCAGTCACTCCGAATAACAACTTTACCTTATTAAATAAAAAGACAAGAACAACAAATAAAATGTCACTCGGTGAACCTACAGAGTAAAGAATATGAGGGACTGTGCAAAAAACAGAAAACACTGCCTATGACTGCCGTAATATAGGGGAGAGTGGTTTGCCAAAAAATTCTTTTTTTTTGTTTAAAAAAAAACAACAACCCTAGTTCTGTTAAAAGTTACAATCATTTATTTATGACGAGACACGGTAGAATGACAAAAATATATATAAAAAGTTCAGGTTGTATCCGGTTATACCGACGCAGCAACAGCGGGACCTGGCGTTTACGGGAAGCCGATTTTGGCTCACTGTGCTCGGCCATGAAGCTGGAAGGCCCTCGGGACTTCCTCTGGCTGGGCGCTGCTTATTTAGGGGGAGGATGTAAATTATAGTGGCTCCCTAGTTAACAGGTGTTTCCCAACTGTGTGCAGGCCTCTGTGTGTGTGCGTGTGTGTGTGTGTGTGTGTGTGTGTGTGTGTGTGTGTGTGTGAGAGAGAGAGAGTGTGTGTGTGCGCGTGTGTGCCTGCACGCGCATGCTACGCAGCGAGTCGCCTTCTTTTTGAATTGAAGCCGTCTGTTTCTCTTTGAGAGAAACTGATAATAATTTGTTGCGCATTTGAGATGACTTGTATTCACACACGCTTGTAGGGGGGAGGGTTTCCTGTAAAAACTCTATTTTTCTTTTTTTTTTTTTCATAATGCTTTGGTAATTTAGTTTTTATTTTAATTGCTAAAATCACATTTGGTTGAATAAAAATGGAAGTTTCAAATCAGAGATTAAAACGCAAATTCGTTTATGAAGATCAGCATTCCCATTTCTACAAAATAGTTGTTGTGCAGGAGTCCTCCATACATTTCAATCTGTTAGTGATTCATTAAAATCAGCCTCATCAGTGGCTTTATTGGAGCCCAACTAACGGGGAAAATGTGCGGCAGTTTAAGCCACATTCCCTCATCATTATGAGCGCTTTAGTGCTCCAAAGCAACTGTAACTTTCACTGAAAACCAGCGATAGAGTGAATCAGTGAGCTATAAGCACTGCTGTCTTCATGTGAAGAACTAAAACTCAACTTTTAAATAAACAGATCACTGTAGGCCTGCCTAACGGTCATTATTGAGGATCCAGCGGGTAATGATGGGAAAACCGGTGCAGAAATAAAAAAGGTTTCTCTGGCAGAATGTGGTTGTATTTTTAAATCTTTTAGTGGGATGTTTAAGAATAATTCAAAGATCTAATCACTAATTCTGAAAAGACATAAAGCAATGAGAAAATCAATATTTAGAGTTGTAAAAAGTTGCAATACTGGTTGCCGTGTATGGCCGTGCACTTGTAATGTTCTAATGTGTGATGATGGTAATGTATGCGTAATGACACTGACACACGTACTATACTGAAACAAGTGTTTTCAAGGAGTCACTTTCTTGTTTGGGATCCTCACATGTGCACGCGCGCGGACGCACACACACACTTCTCCACAAACAAGATATAAATGTATACGCACTCACGCGCACACGCGTAAAAGTCCGTGTCCAAACGGAGACGGTCCGTGCCGTGACTTTTTCTCTCTATATACATATTTTTTACGCTTGGAAACGCCACCGCGCACGGCGACAAAAAGAGCGCACAATCCCCGAGAAAGTTTATTGAAACGACTCGAAATCCGCTTCCAAAACAGAAAGAAGCGGCGGAACGCGAAAAAGGCGTGGAAGCACAAACTGTATGAGCTTCAAACCCAATAACAACAACAACAACAACAAAAAGACAGTCAGTGTTACTCACCTCGCCGTGGTACAATCCGCTTCTTCTGCAGACGACTCCTCGGTTTCCGGCTTCTTTTTTTTTATCCTCACAACAAACGGAAAACTTTTTGTGCGGAGTGGGAATATCAGTAGCACTGGCCCTTCTGGCTCTTGCGCAGCAGCACCGGAGATAACGGGAGGCGCTTTGTGGAAGCAAAAGTAGTTAACACCTCCCCGTTAGGTTACCAAAGCGCAGCCACAGAGGAGGACAGAGAGGGCGAGGGAGAGAGAGAGAGAGAGAGAGAGAGAGAGAGAGAGAGAGAGAGAGAGAGGCTGACTTTCCACAAACACAGTGTAAAGTGGGTATCAATAGCGCAATCGCGCGTGCAGCCCCTCCGCTGAAACACCGAGAGGGACGATCAGTGGGAGGAAAGAGGAGTGGAGCCGGTGTGGGAGCGCAGGATCGCAGAGACGGTGGCAGGCAGTGGTGGCGGCGGTGGTGTGAGGGGGTAGGGGGGGTGGTGGTGGTGGTGGGGGTCTCACAGTGCTCAACAGCGACGTGTGTGAGGCTAGAGCTGGGCTGCGCGAGGCTGAGCGGGGAGTGTGGGGGTGGATGGGGAGGACGAGGGAGGGAGGGAGGGAGGGAGGGGTGTCCAGAGCACTCCGAGGTGCAGTGCTGCCGCGCAGCGCTCGGGACGCTCAATGACTGACTGACAGACACACAGACACAGCACCTCTCTGCATTTCCCTCCGTTAAATACACCTCTATTTAATAAGCGTTACTTGTTGGTTATTTCAATGTGAGCGTTTTCTCTCTTTGGCCATCAGATAGGTCACACAGTGCTCCCTAACAGGGACTGCGTTCTCTCTCGCCTTAAAAGAACCTGGGTCACTCACATATATATATATATTATATATGTGTGTGTGTGTTATTCTTTTGCAAGATCAAATCAATAGTGACACTAATTCTGCCATGACAAAGCCACACATCAAAATGTGTCTTTCCTTTTCTAGTGAAGTGAAGAGTAGTCTAATTGGGCGATAATGAAAGAATGGGAGGATCATTTTGTTTTTTGGAATTAGTGGTAAACTACTGTTTATCCGTGTGCATGTGTGGACACTGTTTCTCAACTGCCCCCCTCTGCCTCTGCCCCCCCTCTCTGCTGTTTCGTTCCCCTGGGTGATTTCCACTGCGCTTTGTGCGCAAAGTGAATGAATTATCCCCCTCCTCTCCCTCACTCTCTCTCTCTCTCTCCCCTCTCTTTCACCCGTTGGAGAGACTGCTCGCCATAAAGCCAATGAAGTCCACCTCTTAACAAAAAGAGGTGGACTAGCAGACACTCTTATAAAGTGCACACTACAGACTGAAGTTGGTGAGACAGAGGGAAGTTCCCTCACTGCACACCCGCAGCTGTGTGGCAAAGTCCCGGCATCGATCAGGCAAAACTTCTGACACATTTACCAACAAAGCAGGTACACTCTATGGAAACAGTCCAGCACTTACTTCCAAATACAATAATACTAGTGAGCTTTGGATCTTGATCAGAAATGAACATATGTGATTGTTAAATGTAATAAATGTATTTAACGCTCATTGGACTAAATGTATGACTGTACATGCGCTTTAATAAACAGAACCAAAGCAGTGGCAGCTCCCTGTACGCACCTACTGCTTCAGCTACAGTCACCTGACCATCAGTGTAACTGTCACTGGTTGCATCGAGGGAAAATAACGAGGGGCAGCAAAGTCAAGTTTTACCCCCCACAACTATTTGCTCTGGAATATGTCCGATTCAGTGGTGGGGATACAATATGTAACTTGAGCACTGAACAGAGTGTATGTGTGTGTGTGTGTGTGTGTGTGTGTGTGTGTGTGTGTGTGTGTGTGTGTGTGTGTTTTTGAGGACAGAGTGTGTGTTTGACTGAGTGAGAGTGAGAGACAGAGGGAGAAGAGACGTCTGGTGTCCCCCGTCTTCCTCTTCACTACACCCCCCTGCTGGTCACACGTGGAACTGACCAATACTACTGATAGCTCCAGACTAACAACTGAGTGGTGTTATAGTGGCACAATGTGGCATAGTTGTGCTTTCATACTTTGGCACTTAAAGGGCAAAAAATATATAAGTAAATAAATAAATAAATAAAAAAAGGCGAAAAACTGTGAATAAAAGAAATAAGTCATTGAACAAAGCAATATGAGAATTTGTGACATTTAGGAACAATATAATATACAAAGATTTAAAATTAGAAGCTATTGAAAGACTGTTTAGATGCCCTTAAGATAGGAATGAAATTACTCCTTAAATGTAAACAGGGAGTCTAAAAAATTAATACAACATTAGTATCTTTAGTATATTTAGTTATAGGTATTAAACTCTGAATAAAAGAAGGGACCATAAGCTATCATTGCATCTTTTTGCAGTTACATCCCATACAAGACACAAAACTCTAATCCAGATCATCAACATTGTGTCCAACAAGCCTGATCTCCCAAACAAGACCTTGATAATTCAACTTAACATATTAAACACAACCGCATTCAGATTTATGTAGATCTTAAGTGCCAATAAGGCTGATTCCATCTAATTTCTCCTGTAAAATGATGTCTCCCAGTTCATCATACAACATGGTCTTCGAATGGAACTCACACTTTGATCCGGTTTCACGCTATAATATATCAATGTTTTAGGTAACAAAAGCGTGGGAAAAGTGAAGAGGGTTGAGTATGTGTGTGTGTGTGCTGGGTGGTCTCCATACACATAAGGAGCAGTAGCAGTGCCATTAGTGCTGTGTTGTCTTGCTAATAGGCTCAGTTTGGAGTCAATGGGCTGACCGAGGAAGAGGACCATCCATGTATTAGATCCCTCTCCATTCAAAGTCTAATGAAACCCTTTAGCCCAACCCTCTGATGTTTTTAAATGCTGCCTCTGTGTGTATTGACTAGGAAGCACTTTGATAGCACCTGTTTCACTGCTGAGGCATCCACACTGCTACTTTCCCCCAATCTAGGGCACAGACATTCCCCCATGCTGATATCAGAGGCGGAAGAGATACTGTGAATGTGCTTAAAGGAGAGTAAGATGTGGATAGTTTTACAGGCAGATTCCCCAAAATAACAATAACAACAAAAAAATCTTCATCTCTAGTGGTACCTAACTGTGATTTTTGTTTTATTTGCCTTGGTTTTTAGATATTCGTCTCTGCCTCCACAACAATACACCAGTGAAAGAGAATGGGATTTGGTTTGAGGAGCTCACAGCATTGAACAAATATATTTCCAAAGTCTGACAGGATCGATTCTTTCCAGAATCAGTGTCTCTTGATGGCGGGTTCTGTGGATTATTCAGAGTAATGTTCAGACTAACTTTTGTCCTGTGAGGAAAAACACAGACCACTCATTTATTTGAATGAGGCGAGTCCTGTGACACAGTAGGGGTTCCAGCGTAGCAGGCTCCAGCGAAACAACACAGGGTCGTCCAACGAAAAAGTGGAAAAAGTTGGGTGCCTTATAACTCATGGAAATATTAATACATATTACTCAAACTAGACTTCCTGGATTATGTTTGATAAGTGTCAGACACCTGAAACAATAATTGTAATGTTTCAACACAGAGCTGTTTTTGCTCTGAATACCTACTTAATAAGATAATGTTTCTTTGTTAGTTGGATGAACCAACCCATTGAGGCAGCTTCTCCAGTACATGCACCAAATATCCTTCAAATTCAATTCAAATCACAACACTTTAAAAAGATGAACAAATGATACATTTGCTGAGGAATAGAATATCTTTTGTTGGTCAAAAGCAGAGACCAAAACTGGATGGATTATATTAGTATGACTGCGGACTGAAAACAGCACTGTGTTAAACACTGCAAGGAGCTGTGTTGGTGGGAGCGTGTTGCTTACGATCCAGGAAGTGCAGCTGTAGTAACAGATCCATGAGTTTGAATACTTATCAGATACAAAAATACTGCACATGATGTTAGTGCTCTGGAAAGTTATTACAGCTGCAATCATTTTCTCTTTCGTTGTGATTCCTGCGAGGTAAACGGTAGAAACCCAGCGTTCAGGTTATAAAGTAATCTACCAGGAATGTGTGCTTGCAAGTATTTGTTCAGCCAATGCAGCACCTTGCCGGATGACATTGTGTTGCGTTGAGGCAAAAGTTTACCCAAGCTCAACCTTTTTTTCTAGACGACCCAGAGCTTTTTTTCTGAAGCTGTCTGTGTCAGCACCCCCACGGAGCCAATGCAGCCATCCCATTCAAATGAATGATGGGGGCTGCAGATTTCCACCCAGAGCTGTTGTCTGCCTGAACGTGGCCTTGCAACAGTGTTAAAAGAACATTCGTATTATTTTTTTGTTATTCTGAGTATCAAGAAATACATTACCATTCCAAGTACTTCCCAAATGCAAGAAATAGCTGAAAAGGCAACTTCTCCTGCACCCACTAGTCCCCTCGCTGATGCCATGACACGAGTGTTCAATGTTGCGTGTTAGCAGACACAGGTTAACATCAGGGCTTGTTGTGTTTTTCAGCAGATTTCTTAGCATCCATCTGAACAGAGTCATGTCCTTGTGTTATGAAACCCCTGACATCTCCTCTGCAATGACAGAGTGATTATGAAAAGCCAAGCTGACAGCAGAGGACCGGGGCTGCCCTCTCACGGCCTGACTTCACCTTTGCTTGGACGGGTTTATCCTTAAATTGAATTCCACTTTTTTAGAACTCTAAACTAGGAAGGCTGGACTGAGGTGAGTGGAGTGGAGAGGGTGTGACAAGCGGTGGGTTTTTGCTTGTTTATGTTGCTTGTTGGCTTGGCTATCAGGCATTTTTTAAATGGTAAAACATAGCATTCAGGTGGAAAAAGGCGCTGTTGTGAAGACATTTTCAGTTTTGTTGGAGTTGGTTGGTGTATATAAAGATAAAGACAAGGTTTCCTAGCAGGAAACCCTTCTCTATTTTATGGCTTGAACCCGTAATCCTTTGCTATTTTAAGGCAGCTCAAATTTGACCCTCCCTACCACCCAGTGACTAAAGTAATACCCTGTTAGGTCCTTTACACCACGTGGGACTTAATTCCTTAAACAAACCATGTTTGAGTGTGATTTACAGCTAATCTGGACAGGGGACGGTCATTTCTATCTTTCCTTTAATAATTTACGATTGGTGGAATTTATAGCACCGGCTCCCCAGCCGTGCATGCCGCCAAATCCATATGTCTGTAATATAATGAGATTTTAGCGCAGCGAGATTATAAATTATGGTGTGATTTGTTCTCTCGCTGTTTTGTCAGGGCATAGCCTTTGAGTGTATGTGTGTGTAGCTTGGGGACATGGCTGGCATTTGGCTGCCACGACGCTCTAATTGCTGACGTACACACAGATAGATGGGACCTGATGGCCGGTGTCGCCACTGGAGAGAGGGAGGAAAGAGAGGAGAAGTGAGGGACGAAAAGGGGAGGATG